CTTCCTTCCGAGGAGTGGCTCATGGGTTTGAACCACCAGCCTTCTGGTGAGCAGTCAAGTGCCTTAGGCACTATGCTACCAGAGCTCCCACATGATATATAGCACATCTTTGTTGTTGTTTTTGTGTTGTTCTGTTTTCCCAAAGGTAAGAATGGGAAGAAAGAAGAAATTGATAGGATTTGTGAAAAGAGAGAGAGAGAGAAAGCAACAATTGGTTACTTTGTCCAAAGCAGAACTTAGGATGAGAATGGCATAACCTACCAACACAAACATCTAGGCTGCTTGACTTAGAAGGGTTCCAAAAGTAGCAGAAAAAGAGGAAGATTGCTAAGTCAGCCTTAAAGAAGAAAAAGGACATTGAGTAAAGTATTCTTGCTGTTGTTAGGTGCTGTCAAGGTGACTCCAACTCACAGTGACACTGTGTATAACAGAACAAAACACTGCCCAGTTCTGGCCATATTCACAGTCATTCCGATGCTTCAGCCCATTGTTACCCCTGTATCAATCCATCTCACTGAAAGTCGTCTTCTTTCTTGCTGACCGTCTACTTTACCAGTATGATATTCTTCTCAAGAGACTATTCCCTTGTGACAACATGACAAAAGTATGAGCTGAGATGTCTTGACATCCTTACTTCTAAGGAGGATTCCAGCTGTACTTCATCTACGACAAATTTGATTGTTTTACTGGCAGTCCAGGGTATATTTAATATTATTCACCAACACCATATACCTCAAAAACTTGTGTAATTGTGGGACTTAAAAAATTAAACAATACAAATTGCTTAGCAGAGAGCCTGGCATTTGGTGAGCGTGAAGTACTGTTTAAGATCATCATGATATTTAATAAGATAAGAGATCTTTATCTTCAGAAATTCCTTACTTTCCTCTACATAACAATTTATGGAACAATAAACATATATACACTCTTTTCTGTTTAACTGCCACTTGCATTTTTCATGTAAATCAATAGAAAGGGAAACGTGCAATTTCAAATGGAATAGGAGTCATAACTAATCTTGACTAATAGGCTATTACTTCTAGATTCATTTTCCTGTTTCTTTATTCCATTTCCAAATAGCCTCCTGATCTGTCCATCCTTTCTCTTTTTTTTTTTTTTTTTTGACAGAGAACAGAAATTAGCTTTCATTGCTTAGTAGGATTACCCATTCTCTATTCCTTTTATGTTTTGACTCGTTATCACCACTGTATAATTACCAGATGTTACAATTGAAAATCAATCGTAGAATTTTGGATGATCTTTTCTTCTGTTTCTGGTTGGGCCTCATCAAAGCCTGGGTCAGGCAGCCTTAGGCACTGGCTCATATGGAAATCCCAATGTTGTGTACCAAGATCAACTCCAAGACACTCCCATTTCCAATGTTAAGATTAAACCCCTAACAATATGGTCAATGGATTCTAAAACCAGGTACAGTTGATTGACTACATCCTTGATGTATTTGTCTATGTTCTTATAAACCAATTCTTTAGAGAATCCTATGAAAGTCCTTCAAGTGTGAACAACTCATGATCTTTTTTTTTTTTTGCTTAATGGCACTAAGACACTGGGCAAACAAACTCTCATCTCCCAACACAAGCATCCAGGCTGCTAGACAGGATGGTCTGGGACTTAAGCATGGAGTCATGACAGCAAACAGCCATAAAAGCATCAGTCAATTGGTGTAAACCGTGAATTCAGACACAGCTGAGTTTAACACAATCTGTAGCATTTGCTTAGTAAACAAGGATATTTCTAGAACTCTTTGAGAATTTTCTATCACCTCATTGTATAATGGAAACAATCATAAAACCTTATACAAATCCTGCAAGGATGAAAAATGAATGGACAAAAGCATCGAGCACAGTGTTCAACATAGTGACACCCTCCCAATATTTTCTGTTGTGATGTTCTGCATGGACACAACTGGATGGTTCATTACAGAGGGGAGTATTTGGTGGGCCAACAGAAAGGACAAGTAGAGAGAGAAAGAATATTCCGAGCAAGGCAAGTGCAACTTTTAGGGAGGAAAAGATGTGCAAAACTCCAACGGGACTCTTGCTCCTGTAAAAATGCCAGGGGAAGAAATGACCCAAATGAATATGAATGATATCAATGTTTCTTTGTAAGGGACTTATTATAAAATATATAGCAATTACCATGAATAAAGTAGACCTAGATGTATCAACACAAATAATGAAACTGAAAAGAGAAAAGTAATTTGTCTAAAATGACATCTATTGTAAAGGAAAATTTAGATATCTTTGAAAGTTATATAGATATAAATTTACATTTTTTATTACAAGCATTTCAAGTATACTGAGAAGTACAGAGAAAAACAATAAAAGCCTGCTTTCTCATCACTCAGCACTATCAAATTAAAACCAACATCACTGAACAATTTGTGGAGAAATCATTGAATAGGAACCTAAACTGCTGTCTAAACCT